CCGTTGCTGGAGAGTGCAAGACCTGTCAAGTTCCTCTGGAAACTGGAGCAGGTGAGAAGACGGCTGCTGGTGTCTTGATGTGTTCCCTTGCTGTCTCCATGGCCCTCTCTTTCTTCCTTGCACCAGGCTCACATGAGTGTACCCTTTTTCTCTGGCCACAGGTCTGTGATGACGAGTGGCACCATTATGCTCTGAATCTGGAGTTCCCCACCGTTACACTTTATGTAGATGGTGTCTCCTATGACCCTGCTCTGATCCATGACAATGGTCTCATCCACCCACCGCGACGTGAATCTTCCCTCATGATTGGAGCATGTTGGGCTGGTAAGTAAGGTCCATTAATGGCAGAAATAAAAAGCGGACAGAAGGAAAGAGAGGTGTAAAGTTTAAAAAAAAAACACTTCCAGGAAAGAAGCAAGTAAACAGAACCTTTTGCAAAAATAAAAAGAAAACCATTATCAAACCTAAGTATATTTATCCGGTTAACAGCATAGATTACACTGTGAATAGCTTCACTAGCGATCAGCACATCTGTTAGTTTTACATAAAGATGTGTCCGCTGGGTGTTTTACTACAAAAACAATATAAATATTCCCAGAGTTGGTTAGGTTTGCAAGTGGAGGTTTTTATATATATATATATATATATCAAGAAAGGCTTAATTCTAGCAGATAATGTAATGAAATGGTTTCAATAGTCATACGAGTATTATTCTTGCCAAAGGCCATAAAATACTGTAATTGGCTGACGACAGGCTAGGTTAATTCCAGACAGAAAGTTTGTTTTGGTCAATTTAGTAACATATCTATGATCAAATTGGCTGTTAAGGAATGGAAACAATCAGTATTGTGTTTTCTTAGCCAAAAAACATTTCAGCTTTCCAGAAACCCAGCTTGGAAGTAGAAAGCTGTGGAAAGATTTTGTGGCCTCTCCCCACTAACCCCTCACATATTCACACCATATAGTGCCTCTGAATAATTTTGGCAGCAAGCTTATTTGTCAGATTTCAAGTGCTTAGTGTTAGCTTCTGATTTAGTAATATACTAAGCCTTCCTTGGTCACAGACAACACTCATTCAGTGTTTTGATTTTGTTTTTCCTTGTGCAGAGGAGAGAAACAAGGAAAAAATAAAAGGGAATGAGAACTCCACTGATTTGGGACAAGGTACACGACATTCCTTGTGCCATCAAGCATGGCTCTCATCATTGTTCATGCATGAGATTTCCCTTCCCCACAATCTTTTCCTTCCCTTCTCATCTGGGAAGAAAGTCTTGGCACCATGAGAGCCTAGCAGTGTAGCAGCTTCTGGATAGGATGGTGGTTTTGCAGCTTGTGAGAGGGACTGAAGCCGAGACTGAACACAGTTAAAATTTCCACCGAATCTGAGCTATGATTGGTGTTAAGAGATGGGGTAGCTTTGGGGAACCGATTCTTCTCTGAAAACACCAAGAGAAAACTGGCTCTGCACAATATGCCACCCTCCATCTTCTACGGGGCAGTTGCTCTGCTTCTCATCTGGCTGCCTATCCGAGACTCTTTCCCTCCTCCACTCGCTGTCGCTCTTGCCATGCTTTCTCCTTTTCTCTTCTCTTTTCTCCTGTCTCTTCACCTGTCTCTCACACCACCCCTCCTCCTGTATCCTCCTTTAGGAGACTCTCTGCCGATTCATCACTTCTTCCATGGTTATCTGGCTGGCTTCACTATTCGCCCTGGCAGCCTTGAGAGCCGGGAGGTGATAGAGTGTCTCTATGCCTGTCGTGAAGGGCTGGACTACAGCGACTTTGACAGCCTTGGCAAAGGGATGAAGGTATACCTTCCCCTGCCTTCTGGTGGCATGATCTTCCTTCCTGCCCTGTTAGCACCTTGGCTTGGCTTCCCGGATCGTGCCTGCTCCTGCCCACCGGAGAGTCTCCTCATGTCTCTTGACGGCAGCCCTTAATACTTCCAGCAAAGCTGCCTCACAGCTGCCTTCCTCTTCTCCCCACAGGTGCATGTCAACCCCTCTCAGTCCCTTCTTATTTTGGAGGGGGATGATGTGGAAACTTTCAACCGGGCAATTCAGCATGTGGCCTATATGAATTCCCTGCGCTTTGCTACTCCTGGAGTCCGGCCTCTCAAACTGACCACCGCTGTCAAGTAAGTGGGACCACTGAAGCTATGCAACAGCCTCCTGGCAGCTGTAACTCTTGTTTATATTTCGGAGCCGATGCTGCTCTGTCACCCCAATTGTCAATTTACTTCTTTGCTTGCAGTGTGTGTGTGCTTTAAAGAGGCAACTGGGGCCTTTTAGGGTGAGGAAAGGGGATATAGGGGGAAAGATGGAGGCAAAGAGAAAACAAATCTTTTGGTAATGATTTCTTTACGGAAGGTGAAAATATTATGTAGTGGCAGGAGAAACCAAGTGAGGTTCACAGTCTTTCACAACTGATTATTTGTTCTTAGAACAACATCTGTGAAAAATGTGAGCTATGTATCCCCCCTACTTTAGCTACATGTTAGCGATATGCCAGGATAATTAGATACTGGAAATCAATTTGTTTTCAGTCCAAAGCCTCTGGAGGACTGAGTGGGGATCAGATGATGGGACTTAGCCCTTTCTCTTTGTCTTATTTTCTTGATGGTTGGTAAGATTTGAATTGGGAAAATAAGCGGGTTTAAAAAAAAAAAAAAAAAGATGGGGGTCTTTCTCTGGCCTAAATCCTAATCCCAAAACTGTCGCTTTGAACAGCCACTTGGAGCTAAAAAATGACAGCCAAAGCTCTACATTTAGCTGTTGGGTTTATGGTACAAATGAGAATGAAACCAAGACTGAGTTTATATGTGTTTTCATTTGTATTTAACTCACTGCATTGTATTTGCTTCTGATTATTTTATTTGCATTTATTTATTATTTGATTTTTATCCTGTCTGTGTGTTGCTCTGTGCCCTTTGCTTGAGGGCTTATATGCCTAGTAATAGGTTGAACTCAGAGTGACTGACTGGCCCAAAGTCACCCAGATGGCTTTCATGCCTAAGGAAGAACAAGCCTCCTAATTTCAAACTGGCTCTCTTGATTAGGAATGCAAAAAGGCTTTCAGGTGAAAATGTTGAATTTACACTGAACAAGCAGAGGATAAGACAGACCAATGAAATCTTCTCCTTCTCCTTGGAGCTATCAGCTCCGACTGATAGCTCTAGCTCAGTGTTTCTCAACCTTGGCAACTTGAAGAATTCTGGGAGTTGAAGTCCAGACATCTTCAAGTTGCCAAGGTTGAGAAATACTGCTCTAGCTCTTATACCAATAATCCAAACAGAAAAGCAGAAGTATTTTTCTACTGGAGAAGAATGTGCAATGGTATCACAAACACAATTGTGTGATTCTTTTTGTCTGCCAGATAGAATATGCAGCAGCTAATGGTAATTGCCCTGGGACTGAGTAGGACATTCTAGCCTCAGTCATTGGCCAGGAAGCCAAGATTCTGTTGCTAAATTGTTATGGAAAAACTACCAGCTCAGAACGATTAGCTGAAACCAAAGTAAATATAAATACCTATTTATGTATAATCACTTGGTTTTGCATTCCAGAAATCCTGATCTGCTTAGATTACAAGCCATCTGTATACAAAAATTGTTTAAAAAGCAGGACGAAAGCAAATATATAATTAAATAAGCCAGAAGCTTAAGGAGGCCAATCTGTGTGATCTACATATTTGTGATAGCTGTCCTTTTGTTTTTAGGCTTCTCTCTCTCTCTCTCTCTCTCTCTCTCTCTCTCTCTCTCTCTCTCTCTCTCTCTCCCTCTTCCTCCCTCCTCTCTCTCTCTCTCTCTGTTTTTTCTTTTAAAGTGAATTTCTTTTTTATTTAATTTTTGTTGATGTTAAGTGCTATCAGCTGCCAAACAGCCATGCACCCAATTTAGATTGAATTCACCTTGGCAGAGAACGAGGCAAGGAAGGCCTCATGGATTCTTTCTTACCCTGATAGGTGCTTTAGTGAAGAATCGTGTGTCTCTATACCAGACGTGGAAGGCTACGTGGTTGTGCTTCAGCCAGATGCTCCACAGATCTCCCTGCGTGGCAGTTCCCACTTTGCCCGGCCTGCTTCTGACTTTGAAGATGCGGAGGGAGTTCTCCTTTTCCCCGACCTCCAGATTTCTTGCTCCATTTCACACCAGGTGGAGGCCAAGAAAGATGAGAGCTGGCATGGCACAGGTCAGTTGAGGGACACGTCTTCTGACACAGATGCTGTGGGACGCAGCAGGGCGTGGAAGAGCCAGGCATTGGAAAGAGAAAACGATTTTGCTGAACTGTTTTTGGCTTTTGTGGGGGGTGGGGTCCTAGGAGTGTAGCAGTTTTAATAAGTTGCACCAATGCTATGGAACGACTTGGAAGAAACGTTTTTTCTTTGGATGATGTTTTACTTCAAACAAACTTATCAGAAGCTTAGCATAGCTACTTGAAGGCTAATTCATTTTAAGAAGGGTGTAACACTGTACAGTTGAAAATTGGGCTGGGTTTGCATACTGTATTTCTCTCTCTATCCCTCTACCTACCTACCTACCTACCTACTTACCTACCTTTTCTCTCTCTCTTTCTCCCTATCTATCTACTATATTTCTCTCACTCTCTCTCTATATATATATCCCTCTATCTACCTACCTACCTACCTACCTATCTACCTATCTACTCTCCCCCCCACCTACCTACTGTATTTTTCTCTCTCTCTACCTTCCTACGTACCTACTCTCTCTCCCTCCCTCTATTGTATTTCTCCCTCTCTCCCTCTCTATCCNTGCACCACCACGGCTCTTTGTATTATTATCATATTATTATTACTATATCTCTTATATTATTAACCAGTTTGAAATGACTTGAGGATGTCAGTCCATTGTCAAAGGAAGCACCCATCCAGTTCATTTCATTCATCTAAATAGTTTATTCAGACAGGAATAACCTGTTGACACAAATGAATGTAAAAGTATTACCAGACTGCGGATGAGTGCATTTCCTTCAGATCAGATTGTGCAGAAAAACAGTTGATCTACCATCCTCTATCTACTTTGTCTGGATTGTTGGCTTTATCTAATTCACTGCTAGTTCGGCCACTAATTCAGTATATAAGATTAATCCATAGAATTCTAAAAAAAACATTAACTGATTATAAAATAAATGGGTGAGGTTTTTCTTTCACCACTTCACCTTCTGAACAACAAAAATCAGGCAAATTTTGACATGAAACAAATTTGTTGATGTACAACTGGATTATGCAAAATGACTCTGATAGGAGAATCTCACCAAAATTGTGCTATTTAAATTGTAATAATGCTTCTTTGGCAAATAAATTAGAAAGCAGAGTTGGTCTTCTTTGACTAGCCAAGCATGTGATGCAACAGTGGCAGCTGATGAAGTCATGGAATGCTTTATAGCATTTCTGGCAAGCTGTGTTTTTGAAAATTGAGAAAAAAATGAGAAGACTAAGAGTATTCTTGTTTATTTAAAATTGTACAAATATTATATTTTTTAATTTATACAGCTTGGATTAAACATGTTTATCAGTTCAAAATATTCAAACATATGTCAAGCTTTATTTTTATTTTCAAAGAGAAAGGCTATTATGACAGCTTTCTTTGGGGATAAATATCTTGCTCCCTTTATTAAGAACTAGTTGATGACCCAGCGTTGCCCAGGTAGTTATAGATGTCGAAGAGTTTGTCTGAAATGGAGCCATTTGTATGACAGGGGCCTTTCTCCCCCCTACTACAATGCCCATCATCCATGTCCTCACCCTTACCCCTCCAATGCACACTTTTTTCCTGCCCTGGCACCTTTCCCCAAATCCAACATGCGCTTCACCATTGGTCCACTGGAGGGCAAATGTCATAGCTGGCTTTCCAGAGGAAGCTGCAAAGGAATGGATATTACAAACAATTGCCACACTAGGATGCCTCACTTGGTCTCATTAATGACCCAGGCTTTCCCTTCTCCCTCACATGACATCACAAACAATTGCCACTCTAGAATGCCACACTCGCTCTCCTTAATGGGCGAAGTTATTCTGGACACACAGACATACCAGGGGTGTCTTAACCCTCCCCCCATATTTGTTTCCAGAGGGTAAGTCATATGTGTACCAAGTTTAGTTAATTTTTTTTGAGGCGCTCAAGAGTTATGCTGGAACATACATACATACATACATACATACTGTACATACATACATACATACATACATGTGTGTGTGTGTGTGTGTGTGTG